CCCGGGACCGCGTCTGCAAGCCCGCCTGCTGCCAGCCCTCGCGCTCCGCGCCCTTCATCCTCTGCCGCTGCATCCACGCGGCGTCTTCTGGGCGGCCTCGCCACGGGCCCTCCTTCTGTTGCGATGGCCCCGCCGTAGAAGCCTCGGTGGGTCGCTCCAGCCTGGCTCGCGGCCGTTGCCCCCCCTCCCCTATCTGTCCACTGACGAACGCTGCTGGAGATGGAGTCTGTTGCGCTGTCGCCACCAGGCCGCCACCGGCGCTGTTGCGGGCGGACCCTGCCGGGCGCCTCCCGGCGCGGAGGGCATCGCGAAGCTGCTGATGGTCGAGGGTGACAGAAGAGCTCCTCGACGATCCCGGAATCCGCGTGGCCTCCCCAAGTGCCCCAGGCTGGCGCATCCCACTAGCGGTGCCCAGGATGGCGCTCCTGGCGGAAGCTGCTGCGTGCAGTAGGTGGTGTAGACGGGCGCGGCTGGCGCGGTGCCCACTATCCCCCGCCCGCCCTCCGTCGAGGCTGCTGCAGCAGCGGGGGGCGCCCCGCACCGCGGCGAGGGCATCGCTGCGATGGGCGCCCCGTGCGCCTGCAGGGTCGGAGGCTGCAGAGTCGGTGGCGCCCCGATGTGGTGGCTCTCCACTCTCATGTCCTTGGCTGCTGGTGCCATGCCCGGCGCCCTCTGCCCCGGCTTCTCGCGCTTCGCGCATGCCTTTGGAGCTGGCGGGCCCAAGTTGACCGCCTGTGCGCCCGCGGACATCGGCTGAGCTGGAAGCGGGGCCTTGGACGCAGCGGGGCCCGCAGCTCCCCCGACGCATGCTGAGTTGTCGTCGTGGCCTGGACCTGATCCTGGAGCAGCGCCATCGCCCGCATCTGACCCGACACTGTCGCCGCCAACTAGTTGATAGAGGTATCCTGCGGACCCTGCTTTCAGACGATCTGCCTGAACAAGGCCATGGTATCCTCGTTGCTGTCGAGAGAAGCTGGGCTGGTGTGGGTCGCCGCCCTCTTGGCTGGTGATGGCGCTGCCTTGCGGCTCCGAGCGGCCGTCGGGCCCTCTGCCAGCTGCTCAGTGTCCTCCATCACCGCCCCTGGGGCTTCCAGCTCGACCTTCTGGCAAGGTGTCTCTCCCGACTGCAGATCTCGAGCAAAGGGCCGCGGAGATGCGATTCCGGCCAAGGTCTGATCATGCGGAATACCTGGAGGTGGGGCTGGGGCGGCCGCCAGAGCCTGCCAGTCTGGGTCCGAACCACCCAGCTGAGCGAACCCCTTTTTCCGCGCAGTGAGCAGGCCACTCACTACCTTTTGCCGCGCGCAGGTCGTCTCTCGCTCTGGGTTGGACTTGTCTGGGTTGGTCTGCTGCTAGGCGACTCGCATAGTGCGCAACCCACGCGCCCGCCATCGCCCATGGCCAGTGCCGCCGTATTCGACGTAAATGGGCACGGTGGCAGGCGCAGAGTTGCGCCGGCAGCGCCCTCAGACGCTTGACCAAGTTGGTGGGCCAGAAGCGCTTGGCGATCATCGCGCGGCCGAACTCGTCGGCGACCTTGGAGACCTAGAAGATGGTAGCTCCCACCAGAGCGGCCCAGCCACGCAGTGGGCGGTTCATGCCGGTAGGCACTGTCGCGCCAGTCGCCGCGTGCGTCCACTGTTGGTGGTCGCCCAACTGTTCTCCCATCGTAGCTGGTCGAGCGGCTCGCATCTGGACCTCTGTCGCGTCTTTCCTCTTGCCCCGGGTCGGCCCTCCAGGGCCGCTGACCGAGCCCGCCGCGGGCCCAGGCATGGTCCCCGGGCGCCGCCGGGCCCGAGGGCGTTCCTCGAATCCCGACATCCTGATAGCTTTCGATCGACCCTGGAGTCAGTTGCCAGCTCGATCGGTCGAGCCGAGGCGCAGTCGCGGGCGCGGGGCCACGCGGGCGAGAAGGAAGCGGAGGATCGCACGCGGGAGAAGTCCCCGAGGACGAACCCGAACGAGTTCTCGCGCATAGGAGCCGCTGGAGGCCCTCGATGTCCTGGGCCACTGGGGCGTTGACATTGCGGTTCGGGGTCTGCTCCGTCCAACCCTCGCGGGGCCTTAGTTGGTCTCGCGGTTCCATTGTTCCCTGCTCGCCCTCTTTCCTCGCCCCTGCCGCGGGGGCCCTTCAGGGCCGTGGACCTCCTAAACTCCCGGCCACAGAAAGACCCAGGCCCCCCCATTCTCTGACCTGCGCCTCCTCGGCCGGTCGAGGCCCCCTCCGCCGGGCCATCTCGGGCCCTCGAGCTCCTCGGGCCCCCGCGGGCCTTTGAGGCGCCAGCCTCTTCCAGGCGCTCTCTGCCCGAAAGGGCATCCGCCCGGGAGGGGCGGGCCTTGCGCGAGGGAGGTGGGCCATGTAATTCGACGCTGCGCCGCCACGAAAGCCCAGGTCGCTGAACTGCGGGCGCCGGGCCAACGCCGCCTGAGAACGCTGAAGCTGCGCCCTGGGGCATGGCCCTGAAGCTCGCCAAGGCGCATCGCGCGACGGCCGGCGGGCAGCCGGCGCGCGTCGGCCTTGGCCCCCAGCCATTTCAAATCAATCCGAATTGCTTCCAAGTCGATACTGGCCCCGAGCATTTCCTGAAAACCTACCGGAAGGAGGAGGCGGGGCGTCCTCTTCGAGGACTTCCAACTCGGTAACTCCGAGCTGTCCTTGGATCCCTGCGGGGATCAGGGCCGCGCTCAAAACTTCGGCGCCCCCACGACCCCTCTGGCCGATGGATTTCTCGGGTGCGCCTCGGGAACGCAAGGGCCGAAACCGCCCGGGAGGCGCCGATGCCGCCCCAGCGCAGCGGAGCCAATGAGCCCCTGCCCCGCGGCGGTGTCGACGATCACCCCCCCGGGGCGGACCGCCATGGAGGTCGCCATGTGGACGTCGAGCTGCCCTTTGTCCTCGCGCAGCGGATCCAGCGGGGGGCCCGATGCGACGGCGCCTGCGGCTGCGCTGGCGCTGCTGCCCTGGCCATTCCGCGCCGGACATTCACGGGGCCAGTGCCCTTTTTGAACGCGCAGTATGAACTTAGTCTTCTCTTTGAGTTCCGCCATTTGAAGTCGCCCCTTTCTCGGCCCGAAGTGGCCGCGCGGCCCGTTCTGACCTGCGGGATCTCAGCTGCGATCAAAGAACTTGCAGTCCACCTTCATCTTGCGCTTGAGCTCGCGGTTATGCTTCCACGTCTTGCGACGCTCTCCCTGCGCGGTGGCATAGGCGGCCGGGGGCTCGTCACCATGGAGACCCGCGCCGTCCAGTGTTACGAGGGTATCCTGCCCCCCGTCCGCATCGAGCGAGGGCGCGTCGTCGTCGTCGCCAAGAATTGACTCCGTCACCGTCTACAGAGTAGGTGGGCTCATCCCTCGGGAAGGTGTCGATGACGAAAATCTTCTTCTGGACAGACATTTGCTCCCGCTTGGTCACGTCCATCTCGCGAATCAACCGCAACTATGGCCTCCTTGTAAGAGTCGCGCGTCTTCATCATCACCCTCATGGGTTGAAATCCGCGTTCGTCGAAGACCCGCGCCCTTTTCCAAGAACATGAACTTCCAGTCATCTGGAACTGGAAGACCCAGGGTCTCAACCTTGTCGAAGGAGAGGCCCAGGCGAACCGCATAGTCGGTGAGGCCCTCTCCATGGCGACGGCGGAACGAAAAGAGGCACTAACGGCCGGCCCTCCTCTTCTCGCCCTCCTAGATCCAATCTTTCGAAGATACGACCCGCACCTTTGTCCGAGGTCAGGATCTCGTCCGACGGGTCCCCCATCTTCCTCTGGATATCTACGGGTAGTGCCATGATGATCCTGTCGCCGTGCTTGTGAGACGGGAGGTCGGTCAACTGTACCCACCTGAACACCTGACGCCTCTACATTCGATACTCGTTCCAGCTGTTCCGGGAGTCCGGGACGGCGAAGTTCCTACCGCGTTCGCTCCAGCCCGTCGCGCCCCAGACCTTTGACCAGCTGCTCCAGTCGCCGCAGCCCCGGGCGGGACTTCCCTCTCGGAGACTCCCACCAGGTGTCCTGGCCCTCGTCGCTGGGACATGGATCAAGGATCACCGCTGTCCTCCCACTCGTCTCGTCGTCGATCTTGTACAACGCCTCCGGTCCGCCCTTCGCTCATAAAGCTCGACTCCTGGACCTAACTTCGTACGATCCTCAGGATCAGTTCGGGCTGTCGTTCGGTGACGCCGTCAGCGTCCTGCTGCGTAGTTCTCGGAGGAAAAGACGCTGGTCCTCTCAAAGCTGCCTCACCCAACAGTGTCCGAAGTTGATCCTTTGTCATGCGAGTCCTGCCGTCGTCGTTTGCCCATTGTCTCGCCGTCTCCAGGTGCCGTGTTGATGTGCCCCTGGCCTTCTGCGACGGCGCCGTGCGTAGAGTTACCACATCGCTCCTCGGAAGTCATCACAGCTGCCGTAGACCGAGCCTCCGCAGAGGCTCCGCTACCACTGTCTCCCCGCCGACGACCTCGAAGGATGACGAGATGCCCTCTTGCCCCGGCGCTCCCTGCAGTCCCAGAGCCCTGAACACACACAGCCAGGACAGAGCGGGAGATGCGGAAGGTGAGGGTAAAGAGAAGTTGGAAGGTGGATGGGTGTCCTGGAGTTCGTGGCTGAGAATGGGAGTTGAGCCAGAACGGACGCGGTCGCGGCCAGACCTGTCTCTCTCTCTCTCTCTCTCTTTCTCTCTAGTTCAGGGACCATCGGATAGAACGGGGCCCAGAAGGCCTGATTCCAACACCTGGTCGAATGGTCGGAAACGTTGCAGCAACTACCGCCACCACCGTCCCTTCCGCCATCACCATCATCGTCGCTGCAGCTACGAATGCAAGCACGACCACCCAGTCATGCTGACAGCCGATGGAGGTGACCAGCCCACCTTTGGGCGTGGCTTCATGGGGGGGTCACATTTGGGGCGGACCACCCTCGCCACCCCCCCATTTATGACCCCCCTATTACGCAACGCCCAACACCTGCACGCCTGGCCGCCTCCGGCAGCGGGGGGCGCTCCTGCTGAATTGCGCGCCCCGGACATCACGGTCGACCTCTTTGCCTGGGCAGCCGGGGCGAAGCCGAGGAGGACAGGGGCGACGAGGGGCGGGAGCAGGGCAGGGGCGGAGCGGCAGGGGAAATGCGAGGTGGCACCAGCAAGAGGGGCAGGACGGGACGCAGAAGGATATGATAGTACTGTGCACCCTCCTCGGGGGCGCCCGTCCGAACCGAACATGCACCGCTTCCCGAGCGGCATGGCCAGAAGGCGCCCGCCACCGAGCATATACTGCAAGAAGTCTCGGCCCGCGCGTCGCCCCTGGGGTGCAGACGCGCGCATCCGCCACCGTACCTCTGGGCACGGAGTGGGCGTGCCCTCGAGTCCTCCTCCTCCTCCTCCTCCTCCTCCTCCTCCCTCCTCCTCCTCCTCCCCCTCCCCTCTCTCTTCCTCCTCCTCCTCCTCCTCCTCCTCCTCCTCCTCCTCCTCCTCCTCCTCCCTCCCCTCCTCCTCCTCCTCTCCTCCTCCTCCTCCTCCTCCTCCTCCTCCTCCTCCTCCTCCTCCTCCTCCTCCTCCTCCTCCTCCTCCTCCTCCTCCTCCTCCTCCTCATCCTCCCCCTCCCCCTCCTCCTCCTGCTCCTGCTCCTGCTCCTTCTCCTCCTCCTCCTCCTCCTCCTCCTCCTCCTCCTCCTCCCCACCCTCCTCCTCCTCTGTGGACTCTGAGCCTCGATCTCCTCAGGAGCCTTTTCAGGGGCCGCGACCCCGCCCTGCCAACCGGGGGGGCTTCCGGCAGCCTCTCCTCGCACGTCTTTTCGGCTCCGGGGGGGCCCAAAGACAGGCAGGAGGGCCCCAGACAATCGATCAGGAGGAGGAGGAGGAGGAGGAGGAGGAGGAGGAGGCGGAGGTGGGAGGAGGAGGAGGAGGAGGAGGAGGGGAGGAGGAGGAGGAGGAGGAGGAGGAGGAGGAGGAGGAGGAGGAGGAGGAGGAGGAGGAGGAGGAGGAGGAGGAGGGGAAGGAGGAGGAGGGGAGGAGGAGGAGGGGAGGAGGAGGAGGAGGAGGGGAGGAGGAGGATGAGGAGGAGGAGGAGGAGGGGAGGAGGAGGAGGAGGAGGAGGAGGAGGAGGAGGAGGAGGAGGAGGAGGAGGAGGAGGAGGAGGAGGAGGGAGGAGGAGGAGGGGAGGAGGAGGAGGAGCCCCGCGAGGCACGCAAGACGGTCCAGGAGAGCCCCGAGGCGCCGAAAGATCGCCACACGACGCCCAAGATGGCCCAAGAGGCCGCCAAGACGCACCAAGAGGCCTACAAGAAGCTTTCGAAAAGGCTCCCAAGAACACCCCAAGACGGAACAAGAGGCCTCCAAGAGGGCCCCAAGACGGCCCAACAGGCCTCATAGCCACAACCCAGGCACGGTGGCGGGATGGGCCAAAAGCCATTAGATCCGCCGCCCCCTGTCGATTCATCGCAGGGGTACCTGGCGTGCTGAACCCTCTAGGTTTTGGTTTTGGTTCTTTTTCCAAAAGAAAACTCCCCCTGGGGCTCCGGCGCGTCCCGCTGGCCACCCAGAAACTGCGGCGGTCAATGCCTGAAACGGCCGTTTCGCTCGGGACATCCTCAAAAAATCGCGAAGATGACCCAAGATGGCCTCCAAATCCGCCCAAGATTGTCTAAGACGGCCTCCAAGACGGCCCAAGAGACTCCAACACGGCCCAAGACGGCCCAAGAGGCCCCCCAGAGGCCTCCCAGACGGCCCAAGAGGCCTCCAAAAGGTCCTCCAGGAGGGCCCGAAGAGGCCAAATCAGTGATTTTCATTAGATTTTGAAGGATTTCAGAATTCGTTTTCTCGGCACTCCGACGGCTCAAGACGGCCCAAGAGGCCCCCAAGATCGCCCAAGAGGCCCCCGAGAGGGCCCCACGACGGCCCAAGTGGCCTCCAAGATGGCCCTAAGAGGGCCCCAAGGCGGCCCAAGAGGCCTCCAACACGCCCAAGATGGCCTCCAAGACGCCCAAGATGGCCTCCAAGGCGGCCCCGAAGCGCCCCAAGAGGGTCCCCCGTTGGCCAAGACAGGCGCCCAAGACGGCTCCCGACGGCGTCAGACGCGCCGGGAACCCACCAAGATGGCCGAAGTTGGCTCGAAGCTGGCCCAAGACGGCCCAAGAGGCCCCCAAGAGGGCCTCCAGGAAGGCCACAAGAGGCAAAAAACATTGATTTCCCTAAGGTTTTTGACGGATTTCGACATTTCCTTCTTTTCGGCCTCCCGACGGCCCGAGACGGCCCAAGAGCCCCCACAGATCGCCGAAAGATCGCCCATGAGGCCTCCAAGACGGCCAAGATGACCTTCAAGACGGCCACGTGTTTCCCGAATGCTTTCCAAACCGATTCATTGCTTCTTGCACGCTGCCGCGCTCGCGAGTAGTCTCTGGCTTGACCGCCGCGCCGTTCCCGAAAAGGTTCCCACGTTGAAGGCTTCAAGGTCCACGAAGCCTCGAAGCACCGGGCGTCATCTGATGGTGCGCTCCATCTCGCCCTTCTCGTTCTTCACAAAGTTCCACGTGCGCGCGCGCCTCGAACTCATGATGTTTGACGCTTTCGCTTTAGATATGTATCGCATGTTGAAACACTTGTCGAATCGTGTCTTGAGTTCAGTGTAGAAGGCCTTCGAAACTTTCTCGAGATTCGCCTGGATGTCAGCCTTCGCGAGCAGGTCGTCTTCCTTGACGACCGTGGCTCGCTTTGCAGCGGCGGCAACGTATACTCGCATAGTGGTCGCACGGTCGGCGTCTAATAGCATGTGCTTTTGTTCGGACAGGACTGCCTTTGACATTTCTGCCGTAAAACAGATTTCTACATATTGTCAGTTTTCGTATGAGTCCAGTCCGTTGCTGCAGTCTTCGACCATGGGGCACAATGGGACATGATACGTCTCCTCGGTGTCGGAATCTTATGGGCGCCCCCACTTAGGCAGGTGCCCCCGCTGTTCTTCAGCTACAGTGATGAGCGCACTATGGTCTGGAACCATCTGCGCGGGCATCGCGAAAAGATCCCCTAGTGGACTTGTCTCCAGCAGTTCCTTGTTATCTTGTAGTTCTGCTGGCCGCACTTCGCTGACGTGTGACTCGAGATCAGCCTCCGAGTCCTCATAAATCGTGGGAAGCCGTCTGCCCCCCCGTGGCGGTTCGGCTCCTGAGGCTTCTCTTGCAAGTCCATCCGTTGTCGATGCATCCGCCAACTCCTCAAACATTGTCATGTCCTGGTCAAGGCCTGCTTGAGGTTTGGTGGGTTTCAGACACTGGATAATACTAAAATGTGCTGATCAAGTTATATCGTGAATGCTCAGAGCGGTGCCTTCTGCTTCATAATAATGAATTCCTGGATGCACGTCGTTGTCTGAGTGGGCCAGCGTGCAACTGTCAGCGTAGGCAACCCGAATTAGCTCATGGATACCCCTGGCTAACCTGACCGAAACTACGTTCTCGATGCGGAGGATGTTTCTGATAAGGTATTGTAAAGCTAGATGTACCTTAGGAGGTAGACGGCTTGCACTTGCCATCTGAAGCGCCCCCTTCTTGGTCGATACACAGCCAACTGTCATAGCAGGTCTCCCGCAGGCAAACTGGCTACGAACGTCCACGCTGTCCGTAGCGCAGCGCTGTCGGAGCCAATTTCTCCGGTGAATAAAATTTTAATATAGAGAAAATGTCGTGACTCGCCGTGCTGCACCTGAAATCGCGGCTTCCCATTCGAATGATGACTCGACCCCTTTCGGGATCGTTCCTTACAACTGGGAATGGGCCACTCCAGCCTCCCCAATCGTCCTGCGTGGTTGCGGGGCGATGGTAATCAACTAAATCTCCTTCATCGTAGTAATGCTGACGGGTAACAGTTGTCTTGGTGCGTAATGCACGATTGGTCTAGGCTGCTGCTGTGGCCTGTGTGATAGCTTCAATACATGCCTTGCGTATCATCTGATCACGAGAATGATCCGACGCTTCCGTCGGCTGTTCGTGATCCAGGACAGGTAAATCAGGGAGCATTGCTGGTTGCCGTCCAAACAGAGCGCTGCATGGAGACACCTCGCCGTAAAAAAGGTGAACGCGCTGGTGGCAAACAAGGCCTCATGCAGTAATGGTGTGAACATCGGAGGTATGTCTAACCTGTTGAGTTCAGCTTCCATGACATGAAGTAGATGGCGCAATATGCCATTTCTGGCTTCGATCGTCGCAGCGCGTTGTCCATGCGCACGTATGCTTAGTTCAATGCCCTTTGCCTTGAGGACTGGTTTCGCAGTGTCGTTGTTCAGGGCGCCCTCTCCGTCGGAGTAAAGTACCCTTGCAGGTCCAAGCTGCATCCAGCACTGATGTATGCATCCAGGATATTGATCATCGTCTTGTCTGGCATCTCCATTCCATTGGCAGGTCGAATACAACGATCGATGGTATGAAATGGCTTGTGTCCTTAGTTGTAGAACATCAGGTCACATTCCACTTTTCCGTTGAATTTGCCAGGCAATGCAGTATATGGCATTGCCGTATGCCCAGGCTTGTCCCAGGCCCTACACTCCCGACATGCGTCGCAGACACCCTTGGCCAGGTTGAGTCTGACGTTGTCCAGACCTATCTTGGTTAAGATGAGTCTCATCTTAGGTTCTTTCGCAAGGAACCAGCGCAAGTGTAGCTTCCGCAGCTCGCGCGTAACCGCGCTTGAGTTAAAGCTTCGTAAATTCTGTAGCCTGATATGTACGTCGAACCGTGGCCAGTCTGAGAGTCGCGGTCGCGCAGCAGGGTTACCCGCTGATGGCGGAGAAATAGCATTTCCACCTTCCCGTCGGCCAAGTCTGGCTCTAACCTGTGGCAGTCGGAGGTGCTCGTCCGAACCCCCAGCTCCGCCCGAGGCAGGTTGCCCTGCAGCAGGTTCAGCAGCATGTCTGCCTACTGTAATATCGGGGCTGCTGGCGCCCGCTGTGGGTCTGGCTCTAGAGCCGGGTCTTGGTGCTCGTGGCCGCGTAAGTGGTGGTGCGGTTCGGGCCTCGGGTGGCGGTGCTGCTGGTTCAGCAGGAGCCGGCGGTGCTGGTCC